CCTAAACTGGTCTGAACTGGTCTGAACTGGTCCTAAGCTGGGTTGGACTCGTTTAAACTGGGAATGCTGGGCTGGGACTGGTCCTAAACCGGTTTGGGCTGGTTTAAACTGGTCCTAAACTGGTTTAAGCTGGGCCGGACTGGTCTGAACTGGTTTAAACTGGGATTGCTGGGCTGGGACTGGTCCTGACTGGTTTGGACTGGTTTAAACCGGTTTAAACTGGGAATGCTGGGCTGGGACTGGTCCTAAACCAGTTTGGACTGGTTTAAACTGGTCCTAAACTGGTTTAAGCTGGGCTGGACTGGTTTGGACTGGTCCTAAACTGGTTTAAACTGGGAATGGTGGGGCTGGAACTGGTCCTAAACTGGTTTAAGCTGGGTTGGACTGGTTTGGACTGGTCTAAACTGGGAATGCTGGTCTGGACTGGTTCTGAACTGGTCTAAACTGGTTTAAGCCGGGCTGGACTGGCCTGAACTGGGAGTGCTGGAGCTGGGACTGGTCTGGGCTGGTCTGGACCGGTCTAAACTGGTCTGGACTGGTTTGGACTGGTTTAAACTGGTTCTGAACCGGTTTCAGCTGGGCTGGACTGGTCCAAACTGGTCCTAAACTGGTTTAAGCTGGGTTGGACTGGTCTGAGCTGGTTTGGACTGGTTTAAACTGGGAATTCCGGGCTGGGACTGGTCCTAAACTGGTTTAAACTGGTTTAAACTGATTTTGACTGGTCCTAAACTGGTTTAAGCTGGGCTGGACTGGTCTAAACTGGTCTGAACTGGTTTTGACTGGCCCTAAACTGGTTTAAGTTGGGTTGGACTGGTCCTAAACTGGTTTGGACTGGTTTAAACTGGTCCTAAACTGGTTTCAGCTGGGCTGGACTGGTTTGGACTGGTCCTAAACTGGGAATGGTGGGGCTGGGTCTGGTCCTGACTGGTTTGGACTGGTTTAAACTGGTTTAAACTGGGAATGCTGGGCTGGGACTGGTCCTGACTGGTTTGGACTGGTTTAAACTGGTCCTAAACTGGTTTAAGCTGGGCTGGACTCGTCTGAACTGGTTTGGATTGGTCTAAACTGGTTTGGACTGGTTTGGACTGGTCTAAACTGGGAATGGTGGGGCTGGGACTGGTCCTAAACTGGTTTAAACTGGGTTGGACTGGTCTAAACTGGTCTGAACTGGTTTTGATTGGCCCTAAACTGGTTTAAGCTGGGTTGGACTGGTCCTAAACTGGTTTAAACTGGTCCTAAACTGGTTTAAGCTGGGCTGGACTGGTCCGGACTGGTTCGGAACTGGTTTAAACTGGTCCAAACTGGTCCAAACTGGGAAGGTTTTTAAGCCCAGCCC